TTTTTTTTTTCATTACATTATAACATACTAAGTCAATATTCTTTATAAAACCATTTAAGAGACACACAAGCATATAGGGGGACAATCACATAATAGCCCTAAGGCTTAGGGAACTCACTTTAGCATCTTTTAAGCCTACTCGTGCCATGTGTAGATAGCATCCCATACTACCTACACGTTGTACATCCTGTCCAATACTAGAGTGCACATCCCATATGATGGAAATATGCCTTAACTGACATAGACCACCCTAGCAAGGTATGGAATCCGGAGTCTATCCTACTCCGTGGAGGTTGTTCTACTTGCCAAGGGTAGAACTAAAAGCAACCCATGTTGGCACATGGTTTAAGAGATGTCCAAGGATGTTCATTGTGCCTAATCTCATTCTCAACTAGGCCACCATCCTAACCACATCCACTCGGTGCTTAGCCTTGGTTTCCATAGAGTATTCAATCACATATGTACTAGAGAGGGTTCCTTTTCTAGTTCAACCAACTCATAGTACCTCTTCCCAAGAAAGGCCCCATTTCTTAGTCATAGCCAATCTAGGTTCATAGGGATAGCTCATTTGACTTTCTTAGATAAGGATTCTCATGCCATTCCGGCTCCATCCATCTCTAAGTCTATCATTTCACTCAAGAAGGGAACATCACCCTAAGGCCCATCCTTCAAGGTTATACATTTACTTAGGAAAACTAGACTTATGAAAAGGCACTATGCTTAAGTCTACCAATTCAAGTCTTGGCCTAGAATTCCTCTTTTAGCATTTATAGAAAGAGCTCCATTACTAAGTCATAGCCCAACCAAACATTCATATATAAAATCAAGCTTTCATGACACAAGACAAGATACTCAAGTCTAGCATATGAGCTACAACATCATCTTACAAAGACTCATCATAGTCCATCATCACCACATATCATCATTTCAAGAGAAACATGCTTTCTCATTAGCATACTAACACTTTATACAATATCACATTAATACCATTAGAACATCTTCACATTATAGCTTCACACAAACTTTAATTTACATATAGCTTCATATGTGTATAATAATACAACACTATAATAGCACTCATATAATGCCCTTCATGGCCTCAATTTACAATAATACGATATTCCAATATTATACAACAACTTCACCAATGCCTTCATGGCTACAATTCACAATAATACCACACAAGAATACGATATAACACTTCCACCAAAGGTGGATTCAACCTACCAACAACAATCAATTTAATAAAGAGAGTTCAAGCTTTCTTACCATAATCCAAAGCCATAGCCAAAATCACCAAAATCCAAACAATCACCAATATTTCACCCATAAGGCTTACCACCCTTATTAACAATTAATCATGAATAAACATTAAACAACCCAAGAGATATCAATACAATTCACTTTACACCTAATTCCATCAACTTTGAATTTATAGAAAAAGACCCACTTCATAAGCAAATTTAGGAGTTTAGGGAAATCATGGGTTCTTCAAGGAATTCCATATGAAATCATCTTAAAACATTAATCAAACATTAATTCATCAATATAATGGCTTAGAAAACGTTTTGCCAATGAACCCATGCTTAGATTAGAATTTGAGATTTTTGTTCTTTGAAACATTTTTTTTTTGAAACTCTTTTGATTGGACTCCTTGAAAGAAAGATTGATCAAGGATCAAGGGTCACCATACCTCTAAGTTGAAAACCCACGAAAATCGAAGAAGAAGAACTTGAAATCTTCAACCCTAGCTCCAACTTGACCTTGACCTTCAATGGTTTCTAGAGAGAACCCTTTTTTTTGAAAGATGAATTAGAACAATACCTTTTTAAAAGTTTTAATACCATATATAGTTATTAGAAATAAAATAAAAATATACCCACTTCTTAATTTAACTAAAATTAATATTTACAAAAATGCCCCTTGCCTACATGGGCCTACCAAATAAAACTAAGGCAAAGTCCAATTTTTTTTGGAAAATTTCATAACTCCAATTTATGCTTAAACTTTAAAAATTCATACGTTAGGCTCTAGTTTCACCTATCTATTTTTAGGGTCGCTACATCACATTTGATTAGAAAGGATTTCAAAAGTTTGATTCCTTCTAGAATGAGGCGGCGAGTAGAAGTTGTGGTTTTGTGTAAGGAGGAACTCAAGGCAAAGGCTCACACTGTGGTTTACACCAAGGAGCGCGAGGAAGATGAAGAAAGTGTAGGCTCCTCAAATCATGTTACAATCCAAAATGAGTATGATTCTTTGCCTCAAATGAAGATCAATGAAGAGTTAGAAGATATTGTCTGGTGTTGTCATATATCTGCCAATGACAATGATCTTTTAGAAGAGGAAGATGCCGAAGATGCTCCACCGGAACTTGAAGAAGGGAGTAACTTTAGATCCTTTGAAGGAAGTTAACCTTAGCACTGATGAAGACCCAAGACCAACTTACTTGAGTGAATTTCTAGAAGTTGATGAAGAAATCGCTTATATGAATATATACTCAAAGAATATAGGATGTCTTCGCTTGGAGTTATAAAGAAATGCCTGGATTGAATCCTAAAGTAGTGATCCATCAGTTGACAGTCAAAATGGTTCTTGTCCTTTAAGCAAGCTCAAAGACATTTTAGTCCAGACTTGGTTCCGTTGATAGAAAATGAAGTTAACAAACTCATTGAGGCAGGCTTTTATTCGTGTGGTCAAATATCCTACATGGATTTCAAGTATTGTTCCTGTGAGAAAGAAGAATGGTCAAAATCGTGTTTGTGTTGACTTTAGATATCTCAATAATGCATGCCCTAAAAATGAGTTTCCTCTTTCCATTTCGGAGCTGATGATGATGCCACAACTGGTTATGAGGCGATGTCATTCATGACGATTCTTCTGGCTATAATCAATCCGCATGGCACAAAGGATGAAGAACTCACCGCATTTCGCACACCTAAGGGTATTTATTGCTACAAAGTGATGCCATTTGGTTTAAAGAATGTTGGTGCCACATATCAAAGGGCTATGCAAAATATATTTGATGACTTGCTCCACAAAAATGTTGAATGTTATGTTGATGACTTGGTGGTAAGTCAAGAAAGAGAGGTGATCATTTGAAATACTTAAGAATGGTGTTTGAGTTGCTCCGAAGATAATCAACTAAGGATGAATCCATTGAAATGTGCCTTCGGAGTTAATTCTGGCAAGTTCCTTGGATTTATTGTAAGACATCGAGGAATTGAAATTGATCAAGCCAAAGTTGATGCAATATGAAGATGCCTGAGCCTCGAAATATTCATGAGTTAAAAAGTCTCCAAGGAAAGTTAGCCTACTTGAGGAGATTCATCTCAAATCTAGCGGGAAGATGCCAACCATTCGGTCATCTCATGAAGAAAGGTGCTCCTTTTAATTGGGACAAACATGTAGCGATGCCTTTAAAAGTATCAAATCATATCTAGCGAAACCTCCAGTTTTGGCAGCCCTATACCTGGAAAGCCATTGATACTCTACATTGCGGCAAAGAAAGGTCGTAGGAGCCCTGCTAGCTCAAGAGAATAGTGAAGGCAAAGAAAATCTCTTTATTACTTAAGTAGAACGATGACCGAATGAGCTGAACTATTCGCCAATTGAAAAGTTGTGCTTGGCACTTGTCTTCTCAATTCAAAAGATGAAGCATTATTTTCAAGGCATGTTGTCTCTCATTTCTAGAGCAAATCCCATCAAGTTTGTTATGTCAAAACCTGTCCTTAGTGACCGACTAGCAAGATGGTACCTCCAATTCCAACAGTTTGAGATTGTGTACATCCCTCAGAAAGCTGTGAAGGGACAAGCATTAGCGGATTTCTTGGCAGACCATCCGATACCGATGATTGGGAGTTAACTGATGATCTTCCTGATGAAGATGCAATGTCTATTGAAATTCAACCTCCTTGGAAAATGTACTTTGATGGGGCTGCACATCGTGGCGGAGTTGGCGTAGTGTTCATCACTTCAAGAAGAGATTCTACCATTCTCCTTTACTTTGAAGCAATGTTGCTCAATAATGTCGCTGAATACCAAGTTGATACTTGGACTTGAGATGGCCTGACATGAAGCAATTACACTTACAAGTCTTTGGTGACTCTCAGTTGGTGATCAACCAACTCTTGGGAAGTTATGAGGTGAAGAACCCGAATTGCGTCCTTATCATGATTATGCTCAAAAGTTGATAGGATGGCTTGGAGATGTAACCCTTCAACATGTGCGTAGAACGGAAATAAGAAAGCTGATGCATTGGCTGCCTTAGCTTCAACGCTAACCCTTCCTGATAAACAAGTACTATTTGTCAAAGATGGATAGTACCACCGCCAAATGAGGAAGAATATATAGAAAATGAGCTTGAGCATCTCGTTGCCGTTTCTGAAGCCGTAAAGGAAGATTGGAGACAACCCATTATTGACTACATGTGTTATGGGATACTTCCAAAATCCAAGGAGAAGGACTGACATTCGTCGTCGTGCACCTGCTTCCTTTACTACAAGGACACATTATATAGAAGATCATTTGAGGGTGTACTATTACGATGTTTGGGAGAGAAAGCAATTCAAGCTCTGCAAGAAGCACACTCAGGAGTATGTGGATCACATCAATCTGGACCGAAACTCCACTTTCACATAAAGAGGATGGGGTATTATTGGCCAACCATGGTGAAGGATTGCTTAGATTATGCTCGGAGGTGCGATGCTTGTCAATTTCATGCGAATTTCATACATCAGCCGCCTGAAGTATTGCACCCAACTATGCATCTTGGCCATTTGACGCTTGGGGATTGGATGTTGTGGGACCACTACCAAAATCTTCTGGTGGACACTTGTACATCTTGGCTGCAACAGATTACTTCTCAAAATGGGCTGAAGCTGTTGCTCTTAAAGAAGTGAAGAAAGAGAATGTTGCAAATTTTATCGAGTGAATATCATCTATCGCTTTGGCATCCCTCGCTACATAATAACAACAATGGCAAGCCATTTGATAATAAGTTAATGAACAAAATTTGTGATCTCTTTGGCTTCAAGCAGCGTAAATCTTCTATGTATCATGCTGCCGCCAATGGTCTTGCTGAAGCATTCAATAAGACTCTATGCAACCTCCTGAAGAAAGTTGTCTCCAAGTCCAAACGAGATTGGCATGAAAGAATGGAAGAAGCTTTGTGGGCATATAGGACAACATACCGCACACCAACTCAAGCAACACCATATTCACTTGCTTTTGGAGTTGAAGCAGTCCTGCCACTCGAGCGTCAAATACCTTCCTTAAGACTTGCTATTCAAGAAGGGCTCACTGAAGAAGAAAATGCTCGACTGCGTCTTGCTGAGTTAGAAGCACTTGACGAAAAGAGGCTAGAAGCCCAACAAAACCTTGAATGTTATCAAGCTCGTCTATCTCGTGCTTTCAATAAAAGTTCGCTTGAGGTGTTTCCAAGTTGGAGACCAAGTTCTCGCAGTAAGAAGACCCATCATTACTTCGCACAAGTCTGGGGCAAATTTACCTCAAAGTGGGATGGACCTATATTGTACAAGAAGCATATTCACATGGTGCTTACAAGCTTGTTGATGCAGATGGCGTAAGGATGGTCCTATTAATGCAAAATTCCTAAAGAGGTACTACCCTTGAAGTAAGATGATGCTCCTTAAGGTACGAGCCTAAACTGCATGTCACTCCTGGCCCGCAAGAGTATAAACTGTGTACGGTACAACAAAAAAAAAATCACTCAATCCCAGAACTACGTTGTGACTTGATCCTCTTCATTGAGGTACGTAGGCGCTTAGAATATATCCTAAGTTCAGTTGCATGAGTGTCAAAAAACCACATGTTCCCACTTGATCTGTCACATGACAGTCAAAGCGATAAGTATTTTGTTTTATCTTTTGTCTCATCAAACTTTAGACTTTTACGAAGTATTGATGGGTCAATGAAGGGGGGGGGTAAACCCTTATAAAATATGAGTTTCTTTAACAGTACGCTTGTAGTCTTTAAATTTAGCCAAGTATGCAAGTTGAAGTTTTTAAATTCTTTGAGTGTAGAAGTTAAAGTATTCGAATCCTCTAAGTATACAAGTTGAAGTATTCGAATCCTCTAAGTGTGCAAGCAAGACTTCAAAGTATGTAAGTAGAATCTCCAAATCCTTCAAATGTCACGTCGTTGAATTTCCATACCTTAAGGTGGACGAGGTTTGTCCCTTTGCACCTTAAGCTAGCCTTTTCACGAATTTATCCTTAAATGGATCTTTAAATTTCCATGCCTTAAGGTGGACAAATATGTCCCTTTGCACCTTAAGCTGACCTCTTCACGAATTTATCCTTAGATGAATTTTTTTGATTTTTTTTTATGCCGTACACAGTTTATACTCTTGCAGGCCAGGAGTAACAAAAAAAAAATCGCCATGCCTTAAGGTGGACAAGATTTGTCCCTTTGCACCTTAAACTAGCCTTTTCACGGGTTTATCCTTAAAAGGATCTTTAAATTTCCATGCCTTAAGGTGGACAAGATTTATCCCTTTGCACCTTAAGCTGGCCTTTTCACGGATTTATCCTTAAAAAGATCTTATAAAGCCTCAAGTTGTTGACCTCAAGGTGGGGACGTTAAACACGTCCCTTCACACCTTATGCTCAAGTATTCGAAATTTAGTAAAGCCTCAAGTTAGTGATCTTCAAGGTGGGACGTTAAACACATCCCTTCACACCTTATGCTTAAGTATTTGGGACCTTGTAAAGCCTTGAGAGTAGTATTTTTTTCCAAGGCGGGGACGTTAAACACAGTATTCTAGTAAAGCCTCAAGTTAGTGATCTTCAAGGCGGGGACGTTAAACACATCCCTTCACACCTTATGCTTAAGTATTCGGGACCTTGTAAAGCCTTGAGAGTAATATTTTTTTCGAGGCGGGGACGTTAAACACAGTATTCTAGTAAAGCCTCAAGTTAGTGATCTTCAAGGCGGGGACATTAAATACTTCCCTCCACACCTTATGCTTAAGTATTCGGGACCTTGTAAAGCCTTGAGAATAGTATTATTTTTCAAGGCGGGACGTTAAACACAATATTTTAGTAAAGCCTCAAGTTAGTGATTTTCAAGGCGGGAACGTTAAACACATCCCTTCACACCTTAAAATCAAATTCTTGTGTTATGATAACTCTCCATTACATGGCTTCCAAATATATATATATATATATATATATATCAATCCATGACCTGCAAAAGAAAAAAAAAGAGGACCACACGGAAAAAATAAAAATGGAACGAAGTGAACAAAAAACACGTACCTTTATGCTCACGTGTTGCACTTCGAAGGTCTGTGAAAGAAAGAGAAGCTCGTAATGGCTAATGTTGAGAATAGAAAAAACGCTAGCCTCTATTTATAGATGTTAATATGGGTTATGGCGGTGGAGGAATCCATATCCTATACCAATTGTAACTCTATTTTTAAATGTTAATACGGCATTGGAAGAATCCATATTTTATACCAATTATAACTCTTTTCTGCTTAAAATCCTAAAGAAGCATGACAGTAGGAATTAAAAAAAAAAAAAAAACAAAACAAACGACATACCTATCCTTTTCGTCCTACAATTGGATTGCTGATTGGTAAAACAAACATCTAATTATCTTTTCTCCTAAATCTAATTGGCTAAGGATAGTTGGAGGTTGGCAATATGATACTTAAATATCATTTCTATACTCCAATTACGCTGGAGTGTATACCAATAAAATAATCTAAAATGCATGTATATAATTATCGTGTAATTACTACTTCAAGTCTAGTCTTCAAAAGATAATTTTTTTTGACAAGACTTGAAGCAGGGGCATTTATAATCATTTAAAATTTATTAAATATAAATTTATAAAATGATTTGAATTATATTAAATTCATGAATATATTAGTCCAAATAAATATTATGGATTAATATAATTGGGCTAATTATTCAAGTCCAATAAATATGAATTTAATTAAAGTCAAAATTAATTGATTTGGACTATAGATGAGCCCAATTTGCTAAGTCTAATGTCATCTTATCCTAGAGGCCCATTCTTTTGGTGCCACGTGGCAAATGACATGACATGCCAAGTCAAACAAAGAAGCCAATAAGATCATGACATGTGTCAAAGATGACAAGCTCACTCCATAAAGCCCATATGACATGTCACTTAAATCTGATTGGCCGAAGGGAATCCTGTTCCAAGCGCAACTCCTCTATTCTAAAACTATAAATAGGGGTCCTCATAATTTAGAAAAGAGACCAGAAAATTCTAAACAAGAAGCTAGAGAAAATGATTTTTGTCTACCCTCCTATTTTCTTTTGCCAAAATTTGAAACTTAGGTAAGTGCTTTTTAAACATATGTATAAAAAGTAGGTCGGAATTGGTGAAAGAAGGACTTTATACTTTCGGAATAAGGGCAATGAAATTGGAATTCAAACTTAGGGCTTAACAACGCCTTCAGCAATCCGTGGTACAAACACCATAAAATTTTCTATAAAGCTACAAGTTTAAGAATTCAAGCATTTAAGTTCAAGAACGATCAAGATCAAGACCATCAGATTCAAGAACAAGCTCGAAGCCCTTGAATTCAAGTAAAGGTCAAGATCAAGATAAAGTTCAAGTTCAAGTTCAAGTTCATCGAAGATTCAAGAACAAACTTCAAAACCCTTGAATTCATATTTGAAAAGACGAATTCAGAGAAATCATAGAGATTGTAACACTCACACTTTGAAATAATAAAACGATTGTTGCTATAATTTTCCATTCTTGATTATTGTTTTCTCAACATGAATTTTATTGTCTACAATACACACACGAAGATTTTACTGACTACTTCTCTTTGATAGTAATAACTTCACATTCGACTAAAATATAAAAAAAAGATAAAGCATATGAAGATCTTATCCTTATTTTATAAGATACATATTTTATTTGAAATATCTAATATTTGACTCCAAATATTTTGTCACAATATTTCAGATTTTAATGACGAGACACGAATAAAATCTTACTTTTTTTTAAACAAGTCACGATATTCTTGTATTAGCCAACAAAATAACCTTATTTGCATTGCCCTCACCTTTTTTATCACCTTATTTTTAAAGCCCAATATTCCCAACTTTCCTCATTCTTCTGTAATTTTTATTTATTACTAGCTCAATGACATCCATTTGTTCCTATAGTTATTTATTTAAAATATTTAATAGTTATTCTATATGTTTTAAAATTATGGTCTTTAAGAGGTGATATAGACAATACTTCTTTTAACTTGGAAATTACATTTATTATTTCTTTTTTAAAAATCTACCTACTAATAGAATATTTTTAAAATACATTTACTACTAATTAAAGTAAATTTTAATGTAATTATTTATGACCGCGCGAAGTGCGGCTTGGCTTACTAGTTAAAAAATAATTTGTGAAAATTTTGGATTGCTTATACACCATATGTGATCTATTATCCGTAGGAAATGGATGATAACTAATACAAGGTTTGTTAAACCTTGGATAAGACCCCTAAATGACAAAAACTATCCCTTTATTCATTTTCCTAAATTTCTTTTGTAATTTGATTTTCTTTTATTTATATTGAAATAATTATAAATGTTCTTTTTAATTCTCCAAATTCGTTTAGTGTAATTTAATGACTTCACTAATATTTCTTTTCTCCTTTTTTTTTATTCAATGTAGTTCGTTGATTAACCACTTGAACTATTTTTTTTTAATAAGCTTTAGCTATTGAACAATATAAGTAGTCTTAAATCTATCTTAAGTTTAATATATATTTGACCAATAAAAAATTAGAAATATACCATGACATGAAGGATCTCCTTTAGTGGTACATCATACCTCAATATAATATATATATATATATATATAAACTATTTAAATGAAATAGAAAATACTACAATAAAATAATATAGTCTGACAGTTATTTACCTTGACTCAATTACATGAAACAAACAATCTCATAATAACACAAAGGTATAATAGGAAAGAAATTTTTAAAAGAGTTTTAAATCAAACACAAGATTAAAAGTGGAAAGTAATGAACCAAACACTTGACAAAAAATAATTCATGCATTACTAATCCCTGCATTACTAATCCTTGCGTTACTAATTCCTGCATTACTAATTTCTGCATTATGAATGTTTGTACCAAACGATCCCTAATAGGAATGGCGGGGCAGAGCGGGGAAGGCAAGGCGGATTTTGTTTCCACCTCCAAAATTTCAACCCACCTTATCTCCCTCCACTAGCCCCACATTCATCCGTTCCGCACCATAAATTAAAAAAAAATTCTTTTTATTATTTTTCATCAAAGTGTTCAAATTTTAAATTGCAATAAGTTCGATCTTGTTAAAAAATGAGTTTAAAATGATGCATTTTAGATGAAATGTTTCCTAGATACATGTGGTGTTGTGTATATATATATAATTACATAACATAATTCGTTAGAGGTGAAACCTTAATTGGCTTAAATTAGCAATTAAGGAATAAATAATACTAGCATTTACTAAAACTATAGAGTTGTTATAAACATATTTGTATTATAGTGAATGTCTATTATGTGGAGTCTGTTGGAGGAAAA